TATTTGTCATCTACCATTTTCCAGGCACTAAGTTAAGTTCTGGACATTCAATATTCTTGTGGAGTTTTGAAGAAACATTAATCAAATAATCATGCCAATGAATGGATAATTACCAACGGAGATAAATTGTGGGAAGGGTACATGGTTTTATGAGAGAAACTAAAAAAATAACTTGACTTAGACTTTGGGGTCAGTGATGGCTTCTTGGAGGGAGTAACACTTGATCTGATGACCAGAAAGTGAATAGAAATTAACCACGTAGAGTCAAAACGGAGAGGAGTAAACAATCTGGATATACTAAACAGCATATGCTGTGAATAGCCTTTGATGTAGGGACATTTGAACAGAGACCTAAAAAGAAAATGAGGAAGGCACAATGTAGGTATCTCGTGTAAGCAATTTTTAGTTAAGGGAACAGCCAATTCAAAGGACCTGATGTGAGAGCTCCTTTAGCCTGCTTGAGAAATAGCAAGGAGTGTGACTGCAAGTCAGTGACTCAGACAGAATATGATAGAAGGTGAGGAAACCAGGACAGGAAATGAGGTTGCAGACAGACAGGATGTAAGGGAGGCACCAGGGACTAGAAAGAAAAACTTTGCACTCTTCCAAGTTCATGGATAGCCTTTGAAGAGTTTTGAGCAGATCAGTGTCTTAGTCAGATTTACATTTTAAAGCAATTACTTTCATTGCTCTGTAGAGAACAGACCATGGGGAGGTAAGACTGAAGCAGGGACACCACTTAGGGGGCTATTGGGACATTCCAAGCCAAAGATTATGGAAGATCAGGTGGTGACAGTTGAAGTGGTAGGTAATTGAGTTTCATGCCCATTTTGAAACTGGAGTCAGTAACATTAGAGATGGGTAGAAGTGCGAAAGAGAGATCTAGAATGACCCCAAAGTTTTTAGTATATATTTGCAGCTGTAAGAATGGAAATACCACTTGCTGAAAATTTAGGGAGAAGATTGGAGTAAGAGCAGATTTAAGGAGTATATCACAAACTGAGTTTTGAGACTAAAATTTTGAGATGTTTATTGGTTTCAGGTGGAGATATTGAGAGGGCAGTTTTTTTTTATGAATCTGAAGTTCAAAGAGGAGGTTTGTACTGTATGAATAATTTGGGAGGCAACAATTAATTGATGGATTCTAAAGCCACAAGAACTAAATGCAGTAACCTAACGACTGGGTGTGGATGGAGAAGAGTAAAGATCTGAGAATGAGCTATGGAACATTCTAATATTAGTTTAGAGTTTGGGATTATTTTTGGGAAAGGTCCAGGAAAGAAGATTATGATGGAGTGGCCATTGAGGTGCAAAAAAACAAAAGGAGTATAGTGTTTCCAGGAAGCAAGTGTCCCTGAAAGAAAGGAATGATCACCTGTATCAAAAGCCGTTGATTACGATAAAGACTGAGAATTGGCTATTGGATTTAGCCATGTAAAATCACTGATGATCTTGACAAAAATAGTTACAGTGGAATGAGAAGGAAGAAAGCCTGATGGAGTTGGGTTCAAGAAATAATGGAGTGGAAAGAAGTAGAGGCAGCAAAAAAAGAAAACTCATTCTTGAACTTTTCCAGGAAAGGAGAACAAGTAGAAATAACTAATAGGGATGTGTGGATCCAGAAATCCAGCTACAAATAACAGTTTTTTCAGCTCTTATTTATATTCAGAGTTGTGATCATAATATACAGGTAATTTTTATTTGACTTTACATCATGTCATTTTTCTTATGGCCAATCTTCAGAATTGTACTTCTTGATGACTTTATAATACTCCATTTCATGTATTATTCTACCAAACATTCTTCTGCACTGGGCATTTGTGATGTTTCCAATTTTTGATTATACAAGATAGAAATAAACTTCTTGATGTCAATAGTTTTTCTTCCATTAGGATTATTTCCTGAGGGTACGTTCTTCAAGTAAGATTACTAGTAAGTGTATAAACATTTTAAGTTCTTCTGTTGCTTCCTTAAAGGCTTGTGCTTTGACTTTTCCCTTATCCCCGGGATCTATCTTGTGAACTTTGAGCCTTCTCACTATGTATCTGTGGTTTCCTGTCTCTCTCCTTAAAATCTCTCTGGGCTACCTTATGCATCCTCATCTCTCTTCCTCTTTTACTTTTTCTCTGGTGACTGTACAAGGACAGAAAAGTATCAAATTTAATAGACCAGTCATAGACAAGTTCTAGAATCTATTCTCAATTAACTTGAGGGGGCAGGGCAGGGTCTGCTGGATTATGGGGTCTCAGACTCTCTACACATAAGTCACTTCAGAACTTTGAAAACTCATGATGTCCAGGTTTTACCTCACATTAGTTAAAATAGACTCTCTGGAGATGGTGCCCAGGTATTCTTAAAAACTCACCAGTTCATTTTAATGAGCAGTCAAATTTGAGAACCAGTGGGTCAGAAGCACTGTGGCAGGAAGCTTCTTGTCTGTTTTTCCCTCTTCCCTTACAGGGACAGTCTTTCTAATCAGATCTCCACTCAAGAATGAGGTTAGCGAATGCTAGTGGCCCTGCTATGCCTGAATCTGACTCAAGGTTTATCAGTTTGATATTTACTGTCAGTGATTTTTGACCATTTGACCCACTGCAACATTTTATTCTTCATTTTCTAAAACTGTTGGCAGGATCTTTGCTCTTTTGGTTTCCCTAACATTTGATGCTGTAATTACGTGTTTAGTTTTCATGTTCTCAGGTAGATTTTATGCCACGGGTTACCCCACTAACCCAGTGCCGGGCACCAGTGGTGTGGAATAAATAAATGTTTGTTGAATGAATTAAAGAACAACAGAATGAAAAAAGATTTTATTCTATAAATGGCTATAAACTAAAGCTGGATATCAAGTTCCCAGTAATAGACTGTTTTAGATCGTGGGGATCAATTTCTTTAGGATACCTAACAAAGACAGGCCATTCATATATATATGTATTCATGTATATATGTATATATGTATGTATGTATAAGATAAGTAAATAAATATATATACTGTCCTTGTCCATTCCTACCTGAAAATTTTTAGGGTCTAAACCTATAGCTGTTCTTCTCTTGCTTCTGTTGTTTTTCTGCAAGATTGACTGGGAGGTGAACCCTGTTTTCCCATTGACTTCTGTAAAAAACAAATCAACATGACTTTCTACAGGGAAAAATGACCAATAGAGAAGAAAGAGTTTTGGTGAAAAGTTGGTCAGTCACTCTCTGACATGGAGGGTGATGATTCTTATTAGCATTGCTTTCTTTTCCGGAATAGTTTTGAAGCACTCTGAGACATGCATGGCATGCCCCCACCTTAGGGTCTCCTTGTGCGTTGTTCCTGATCCCTCAATATCTACAGAACTCATGAAATTTCTCCTGCCTCTCACTCTCACTCTTCTAAGAGTTGGTGTCACCTTTCTCAGATTGTGAAGTATCTATAACCTTTAGTTATTCTTGTCTGAAAATCATTTGTGCCTATAGGCTCTGAAAGGAAAGGTATTGTACTGGAATCTGAAGAAATATATTTATTTTATGAAGTAGATGACACTTTGTATTTTTTTCAGCTTCTCTTTGGTATATGTTTCTGCTACTTCATGTTGAGCTTTGGGATTCAGAGGGCAGTCATGTGGACATTTCTGGAGTCAGTTATTATAAAGTTGACTCATATAAGATGGACTTCTAAATTACTTGGTTATTCTATAAAGCTCCTTATTGAAGTCATTTAACAAAACACCATAGACTGGGTGGCTTAAACAACAGGAATTTATTTCTCACAGTTCTAGAGTCTGGGAAGTCCACGATCAAGGCACTGGTAGATTTGGTTCCTGGTAAGAACCCACTTCCGGGCTTGTAGATGGCTGCCTTCTCCCTCTGTCTTCACATGACCTTTCCTTGGTGCATGTATGGAGAGAGAGCAAGATCCCTCTCATGTCTCTTCTTATTAGGACACTAATCCCAATCATGAGGGCTCTGCCCTCATGACCTAATTACCTCTCAAAGGCTTTATCCTCAAATACTGAGGAGTAGGGCTTCAACATACAAATTTGTTCAGTCTATAACATCCCCCATGGAAAAGTGATATGCCCCACAGATGAACCAGATAAAAACAAGAGCAATTTTCCTCTAAGTTCAGTAAACTTCATCTCTTTGTGGTTAACCCAGTCCAGTCCAGTGCTTTCCTTAATGGCGCAGAGTCCTTTTCAAGCAAATGAGCAAAATACACAATTAATACATAAATCCCTCAGGTTTCTAAGGTAGTGTGCCAGATCCTGTTTAAGAAGCATTACACCCTCCCCACCCACCCTCCCCAACGAAACATTATGCGTTCCTAAACATCAGGTGGTTGCCCTCATGTCACCCATCACAGCACCTCTGTTTGCCATCATCAGTTGTGACTATTTATAGAAGCAGGGAAATCATTCAATTTGAGAAATTGAGAGTTATATGGGTGAAAGCCCTACTGAAGTAGGAAAAGTGTGAATTAGTAGCAATTTTTTATGCTTTGAGTATACAGTGACTTAGAGTAAGTTTTAAGAAGCCTCTGCCTTAGAATATAACTTACCCATTACTGATATAAGTATGTCTTCAAACAGTCTCTAAAGTACGTTAATACTACTATCCTTCTTAGCTAATCAAAGGCAACCTTTAATAGCATTTTGGTCTTGATTGTCACAGAATCTGCAGTGTTGGGCCTGGATAAATATGGCCTTACAGTGAACAATTTGAGGGAGGGATTTTTTTTCATTTGTTTAATATGTTTCACAGATTACCGCAACTGTGGATAAAGCTTTTATAGGCCTCGTGTCTGTTTTAGTGATGACTGAGACAAAGTTTTTCTAAACACCTGTTCTGTTTCTAGAATTTTGATAGGCCCAACACCAGCCGTATTTTCAGGGGTGAAATGAGAAGGGTTTAAACTCTGTGGGCGCACTTACTTTCTTGCATCCAAAAATCTAAATTTGAGATCTTTCCCCTTTATGCCTGAAAAGAAACCTGAAGTCAGGTGGGTCTTTTCCTTCCAGGAGAATGCCGTGAACGGAGAGCACCTGTGGCTGGAGACCAACGTCTCAGGAGACCTGTGTTACCTGGGAGAGGAGAACTGCCAAGTCAGATTTGCAGTGAGTGTGCTCCTCGGACCTCTGGGCTCTCACCTTGCCCGGGGAAGGCCGCCAAGCTGAGTCTTCCAGCAGCATTGAGGGGCCACTGTGCCGGAATCTCCAAGGAGTGGTTTGAAAGAGCCTGTCCCTTGTGAGACAGTTGATAGTTAACGTGGCTTCTGGTTTTAATGGCCTCGGGGCTTGGCTCTGCAGGTTAAACTTTGGTAGAATGTGCTATTTTCTGATGGTTCCCTGGGTTGGTTTTATTTGTGTGTTGGGGGTCGGGGAGAGGGTGAAGGTGCATGAGTGTTTGCTTCTGGAGGGGGTGTCTGCGTGGGGAGAGGTCTGTGTGTGGAGGAAGCGTATCGGTGGGAGGGGGTGACTCGCTTGTAGAGAGAGGAGTGTGTATGGCCGGGGGGGGGGGTGTTCCTGGTGCATGAAAATGGGGAAGGTGACACACCTAGGTGGCCGTGGGTTCGGGCCAGCAAATACAGGCATAGGTCCTTTGGTTGTGCTTCGCTTTACTGGGCTTTGCAGACCCTGCGTTTTTGGGTTTTTTGTTTTTTGGTTTGGTTTGGTTTGGTTTGGTTTTATAAATTAAAGGTTTGTGGCAACCCTGCCTTGACGCCATTTCTTCCAACAGCATTTGCTGACTTTGTGTCTGTGCCGCATTTTGGCAATTCTCACAGTATTTCAAACTCTTTCATTATTATTTGTTATGGTCGTCTGTGATCGGTGATTATGACTGGCAGAAAGCAGAGATTTAATGGTTAGCTCTTGTAGCAATGAAGTATTTTCTAATTAAGGTCTGTACTTTTTTTTTAGACATAATGGCATTGCACACTTAATAGACTACAGAGTAGTGTAAATAATAACTTTGCTATGCATTGGGAAGCGAAAAAAATTCATTTGACTCGTTTTATTGTGATACTCTATTGAACTTGTCTGGAACTGGACCCACGATATCTCTGAGGTATGCCTGCAATTCGGATCAAGTGTGGAGGATAAAATTCTAGAAACTGGACAATTAACAGATACATTGGAATAGCCCATGCTTTTTAAAATTTGCTTTGTATCCTTGTTTAGAACCATCAGTTTAAATGTCAAGGTTGTCTTTATGTTTTGTGAAAAGAGCATGGTTGCCAGGCATTAAGTTGTGAGGAACTAAAATTTCATTGTTGACAAAGTGAAGTTAACATTTTTGTGTAATTCAAAATTACTGGTTTGAAAAGAGAGTAATGGGAAACCTAGAATAGTAAAGAAGAAAGAAAAAATGAGTTCTTTTATATTTGGGGAAATGGGCCTTGTAAATGGCATCTAATACATTTTTTTCTTTTTCAGTATGTTTGTTTATTACATGAAAGAAAGATTTGGGGCAAAATGCAGGGCTTTGGAATTACAAATGAATATGTTTCTACCAGTGACTAATAAGGAAGAAATTGAGTTTCTGCTAAAGCTTTTAGAAAAATCTAGCCCTCAAGGACTTTTATCAGTCTGGCTGGAATTGCAAAGCTGGAGGAACAAAACTTTAAAAATTGCATTAGCTGTTCTGATGACTGGTTTATAGGTTTTTGTTTGGAACCCTTCGTAAGAGTTTAGAGGACCAGGGTTTGTTTGAGTGAAATTAGGAATAGAGATCAGTGAAAGGCCCACCTGTACAGGGCCTCAATTTGAATCTCCCTGTTAGCAATCACTGTGTGATGCTGAGAACTCCTGTCCTTTGGGCACTGGCTACCTTCTTAGAAAAAGAGAGTAGAATGAAATTATTTTAAGTTTTGCTTCTAACTCAGATCTGTACTTGGGTGTTTGCATTTCTCTTAATCTTATAAATTCAATTGATTTAAATATCAGGGATTTCAACTTTATGCATATGTATTTTGAATTAAAGTATAATTGCATAAAATTTGATTAAATTAATCAAAAACCAAGAGATGCTCAGCTGTTTGGACTGAAATGCTATAAATAATGGATTAACATTAGGATCTCAGTTAATTGCGTAAACACTGGTCTTGGGATATCAGATAATATAAAATGGAAAAAATGAAAGCCAATTTTACTTGTCTATGCTTTTGAACGATTTCTGCTATTACTGTAATGGAGGTCTGCGTCATTCCCAAATTACTCCCTTTGATCCTTTCCTGGTAGTCTTTTAGGGTCAGCCACATATTACCTCTCTTGGCAAATATATACACAGATACATGTATTCTCCTAAATAGCATCGCTATCCACCAACTGATTATAACTTGGTCACCGTTATCTCTACACCAGGAAAAATAACAAAGAATAAGGGAAATTGTGAGTATAAGTAGGAGACAACAGAGTTGTGAATATTCCTGGTGCTCTGAATCTTTCTCCAAATTTCATCTCCAATACTCAGCTCTATTAACTCACTTTACAAAATGTCTGGAAGATGAAGAGCTCTCCTCCAAAAAAAGGTTGTTGAAAGAAGGAATGAATCAGTGAGGAAGCAAAAGATCTGTTTCCTCATTATAGGCTCCTGAAGGCTCAGTTTCTTCACCTATAGAGTGGGGGTAGTGTCTGGAGCATTATATGAGATAATGCATTGAAAGGATTTACTTGCCATAGCAACTGACACAATGAATTAAGAATGAAAAGAAAACAAAAAAGAGAGAAGCAGACAATTCACAAAAGAACTACCAATGGCCAGTATATATATGTGAAAAATATTTTTAAAAGGCACCCAAAATAAAACAACTATGAGGAGTCAACGTCATGTGCCCATTAAATTAGCAAAGATTTACAAAATGATAATACCTGCTGGTTAGTTTAAGCCTAAATGGGTATTCTCATTGGCAGCTGGTAGGAGTATAAATTGATACACGGTTGACTCTTGTACAACATGGGTTTGAACCATGTAGGTGCACTTATATGTGAAATATGTCTGATCAATACAGTATGGTACTATAAATACAGTAAATTATTTTCTCTTACGATTTTTAAAAATATTTTCTACAACTTACTGTATTATAAGCATACAGTATATAGCATACAAAATACATGTTAATTGACTGTCTATGTTATCAGTAAGGCTTCCAGTCAAGAGCAGGCTATAGTAGTTAAGTTTTGGGGAGTCAGAAGTTATATGTGGATTTTTGACTATACCGGGGGTTGGTGCCCCTAACCCCCACATTGTCCAAGGGTCAACTGTACTTCAGAAAATTGTCAGTAGGTAGTGAAAGCGTTACAAATCTAGCTCGCTCTCTTTCATTTGGGCATCATATTTGGTGGGGGAAGGGAGACATTGGCAAGAAGGAAAACACCGGAAGGAGTGTGCTCAACTTGGTTCAGGGTAAGGAACTTTGTAGTAGGAGGAAGAGCAAAATAACCTGGATTGCAAAAGAGTATTAATGAGGGGAGGTAGAGAACTGACCTCTTCCAGTGTTGAAAGACCTGCCTTGAAGAAGAGGGAAGGGTCTTGCTCTCCATAGTTAGGAAGGTAGAACTAAATTCTAGATATAGAATCCACTGACTCTAGCAGTGAATCTTATATGTATCATAAACATCACCTGGAAAACCTGTTAATGTAGACTACTGTTTCTCTTCTTGCTCCAAATGCTAATTCAATATGCCAGAGTTGGACTTGGGAATCTGTGATTTTAACAAGCACCTCAAATAACTATGGTACAGATGGTCCACAGACTTAACTTTGAGAAATACTCTATTATAAGGAAGGGCTTTAACAACCAGAGCTGTCCAGCAAAAGATCAAGGTTTCTGGAGAGAGAGGCTCAAACGATGTGTTTACCAACAAGTTGGATGGCCATCTTTCAAGGATGCTGTGTGTTGTGGGGGTGCACATCTGCTTTGGGCAAGAGGTTAGGCAAGTTAATCTCCAAGACAGCCTCCAGTTTAAATGTTCTATTTGCAGCTTTCTTAGTTGAACAACCATTTTATAAGAAGAAAGCATGTGCAAATGGATTATGCATTATATTCTCCTTTCTTTTAATGAAGCACCTTTGAAGATAGCCAACCTGTTGAGATAAGGACCAAATTACCTTTACCAGGTACTACCTGCAGGCTTCTAAACAATGTGCAGGCAGAGCATTCGGAGGAGGAGTGAGTCCATTACCAAAGATGTGCCTTTCCCTCCTCACCTTATTTTAGCAAAGCAAATGTCATGGGTAGAAGTTAAGAGAAGGGAGAAATCAGTGTGGGTTGAGGTAGACAGAGGCGGCTTCATGGGAGTGGGGCTTGAGCACAGTTTGAAAGATGGGTAAGATTTACATAAGTGGAGTGAGGCAGGAGAACATTCAGGAAGGGAGAGGAAGATTAGCAAACTCAGAGACCAGAACAAGTGTTGAACAAGGGAAGAGGCGATCATCAGACATGCATGAGCACACCAGAGGGCATGTGCTAGGTAAGAATGGAAAAAAGGACAGATGGGGGCAGTGTGTGTCCATGTCTTCCAAACTGAAACTTGGAGTGCATGTTATAAATGCCTGTGTGCTTAGGAAGCATGGCCATATAATAAATCGTCTAAAGCAAGACCATTTTGAGGGTGAAAGAAGCTGCTGATAGTAAGGTGCCATAACATTAAGTATAAACCAGAACTGCATCAGGAACACTGAGACAGTCACCCTAACTTATAGGGACATTGCAATAGTCTCTTTAAAACCAAAGCTGTCCTGCAAATCCAGGACTTCCTGCTGCCATATGGACTGATATTTGGGACTGGTATTGGAGAGTATTGAAAGCAAGGCAGTGACGTCATAGGACACAAAGACATTTGCAGGAGAGTTTGCTTCAAAGCCTTGGGGCTGAACCAGATGACCTTTAAAATCCTTCATCTTCTGCATTTCTCTGGTGGCAACATTTAATACTGTAGAACGTCTGTGAGCAGAAATTTAATGGGATTAAAGTTGTTCCTAAATCAGTGACAGTCCCAAAATTAGTAACTGTTTCTTTTTCTAGAGGAGAAAGGGATGCAGCAGTAATGAAATTGGAGCAGAAGGATCACTGTTTCCCGACACAGTTATGGGGGGGATAAAACTGAAAATTCCA